ATACTTTTCAACTTGATATATATTTTGAAGCACGTGAATTTGCCCTTGTAATTCAGAGATTCTTTGAACCTCTGGTAACAGTGAAAGCAAAATTTGAAATCGATCAGGTACTAAACTAGTCCAATTAAAGGGTATCTGAAATTTGAGGGCTACTTGTAAAATTCTATCCGCAGGCCAGTAAATAATATGACTGCCTGCAGCAGTAGTGAGATTAAAATGTATATCTCACAATGTGATGGTTTTAACATACACACAGCTATCATTAGCTTGAAAAAGTAGGTGTCCTATAAGGGTAGTTCCTTGTCCCCTACCCTCCCAGCAAATGTTGTCATGAACAGTGACAACTTCCCCTTGCTTCAATTTCCTTACGCGCTGAAGCTGCGGGGGTTCTAAGGGCCATAATGTCCAGTGCTTCCCTATTCCAATCCAAATATCGGGTGTTATTCCAGGAGCACTAACAGCAAATCGGCTAGGCATTACCAGGTGGTCTAATCTCCCAGATATCACAGTGAATAGTCGAGTCCCACATGCATCCTCCCCATGGACCCGACAGGATTCAGTATGTTGTGGTCCACACCCCTCCTACCGTCCCATATGCTTGGGAGGAGCACTGCGAGTATATACAACTCCATCCTGAAAATCTCCAAGTATGTCTCCATGGCCACAAATCAGATGGCATTCCTGAGGTATCTGTAAGGGCAGTAGGCCATGCCTCATGCTCGAGATCACTCCAAATGGACATCAGCTGGTCATTCAGGAAATCTTGAATTTCTGAACATGCCAAATCCCACTGCAATACCTTCCCAGCCTCAGTGATATTCAATACCATCTCTGTCCACAAATCCTGGTTATTGAACTAAGGGCAGAAATAACATGTAATTCACCAACTCCAGCTTGCACTTGGGTCAGCTGTGCTCCCCTAATAAGACCTGTGGCTTTCTCAAATTGTCCTAATTTCTCGTCATGTTCTTGGCTTTTAAAAATATTCCAAATTGCTGCTGCACTATTGGCACCATCCCATAGGGATCCGGTCAAGTCCCTCTTCTTTCTAGAGGAAATAACCCAGGCCCTTTCCTGTGCTAATCTAATGGCAGCCCCTTTTGAGCAGTTTGAATATGTGGAGGTGATCTGAAAACTGGATAAGGGCAGTGTGAATTTAACAGTCTCTAGTGTAGTATTAATCACAGTCCATCGATATCCTAATACATCTCTCTTTGGTGTAGTACCACATCTGTTGGTTGTATACCTTTATATACTTCTGAGAGGCATTGGCATTAATGGCATAAGAGCGGGTATATTGCAATAGGGTACAGGTTACATTATTAGTTACTGGAATCATTTCAGTACAAGTAAACTTTCCAGTGGCAGAACACACTCTTTGAGTATGAGTCTGATTATTTACTAATTGGGTAACCGAAACAATAAGGACCCCTTCCCCTGATATACTACAGACCCCTGGAATGACCATTATAGCAACCCCATTATAAAACCTTAATTTCAAATTCTTGAAGCTCATTTGTAGTGATGTCATATACTTTTATCTCCTCTGACCAGTCTTTTTCCACTCAATTGTTCGCTTATATGGGATGCCCTGAACCTTAAAATTTTTTCCAAACAATATTTAAATAAATCACTAAAGTGTGAAGACCTTGGCCATTGGGTTTTATCAGATATATGGCATTGTCTGTATTTAGATGTGTTACAGGGATAATAATGTAATGGAGGAAATGGCGGGGACAGTAGCAACAAGGTGCCTTTGGTATTTGTCATTTAAAATCCAATTAGGGAGGGCAATATATGCTGAAGGACTTTTCCAAAAACACAGGGCACAGCCTGTAGCATAAACCCCAAAATCCAATCAATACCACATTCCCAAGCATGGGTCCTACAAGTTTCTTCCTGCCAGTGTGTAGTGGGGCAGCTGCCCCACTCCCTGAATTTGGGCTGCAGCAGGCCAATGGGCCTGCGCAGACAGGGAGCCAATCAGGGAAGGCCTTATAGGGAGCCAATCAGGGCCCAGATTGGAGGGGGCCAATCAGGCCCAGGCTCAGCCCTATAAGAAGGCTGCTCAGGACAGGAGCAGGCAGTCTGTCCCAGGCCATCGTCAGTGGAAGGTCTGTCTCTAGGCTGGGAGACTAGCACCTGGGACAGTGCAGTGCTGGACAGGCCCGGGGGAGCAGAGGGTAACTCCAGCCCAGAGTCTGTCTTGCTGCAGGCCCTGAAGGGAAGGGCCTAGCCGGTGCGAGGGGCCAAAGGGAAAGCGGCCCAGAGATGTGGAGAGAAGGAGGGCAGGACGGCTGCCACTAGGGGGTCCCTGGGTTGGGACCCAGAGTAGTGGACGGGCCTGGGGGGACTGTCCGTGGAGCCGTTTGTCCCTGTTGGGCTTACACCATCCGAACTTATTGACTGTGTGCAGCAAGATCAGATGCAGAGCGGTACTGGGGAACTGTTTGGCCGCCCCCAATAAGGTCAGTTTGAAGTGGTACTGAGGACTTAGTTTGCCACCCTCAATAAGGTAATTGTATGCGATACTGGGGACTATAGTTTGACCACCCGCAATAACGTTAATGCATAAGGGAAATGCATTAGGTTAATGCACCGGTGTTGAGGGGTTGTTACCACCTCAAAAGGTAAAGTGTATTGAGTCCGGACATAAGGTATTTAGAAATAGAAGCCTTGGGGTGTGGGTGTGTGTACACCAGTGTGAATGAGAGTCACAGGAAGATGCCCAGAGCCATCTGCGAAGCCGTAGGCTTGTGACCAGAGATGCTCTAACGCAAGCCCTGTGACTCCACCTAGTGGACCGGTAAAAGGTCCCGACTAAAATGGCTCTCTCAGCCTGGCATTGTCCAGCGAGGGGCCTGCCTGGGTCTAGGATTGTGTGATCCCATCTTCCCTTCCCTTTTCCTCTCCGTGTGAGCCACTGACTGGTCTGATCATCTCACTGGAAGCAATTAGAGTAAGCTGTGCTGTCTCTCTGAGACTAGCCGACGCTCTTTGCTGAAGGGAGGTGTAGGAGGGTCATGGACATCCTTGTTAATCTTTCCTGTGTGAGTGACCTGAGTGGAAGGTAGTGTGATACCCTTAGTTTATGAGCCGCTAGCGGACAGGGCGCCCTCCCTGTGTGTGTGATTGGAAAATGAGTGGGGGACAGTCTAAGCATTTCCCCTCACCCCCTAAGGGTACCCTAGCATATTACATGTACATACATTATGGTCCTAGAATCTGCAGATATTTAGAAAATTGGAATCTTTACATTTGTGAAAATCCATCTAAACAATGCCCACTAGAAGGTACCTTCAATCTAGATAAGATCATACATCTCAGAGGAGCTTTTAATCACCAAAAAGCCTCTGACACACAGTGGGAGCAATTTGTCTATTGAGGAAAGGAATGGGTTAATTTGAAATTCAGCTTGGCCCAGAGACAAAGAGAAATCTATG